CCCCCCCCGGCCCCCAGTGTGGGCTCCTCTCCTGCAGACCCCGGTCTGTCTAAGATCCCGGCCACTATTAGGCTCTGACCCTACCTTCACCCCCACCTGTCTTGCAGGCCCCCAGCCCTTCCCCTGCGTCTCCCTTTCCTGCCCTCGCCTCTCCTCCGCAGTCCTGGCCCATCGCCTGCCAGCTCCCATTCGTCACCCTTTTCACGCCTGGGCCAAGCAGTCCAGCTTGGGGGGAGGGAGCCTGGCACCTCCCTTGGCTCTTACTCCTCGGTTTCTCACAGGACGTGTGTCCCCTTGCCGAGTTGAGGGCGGCTGGCCTGGAGTGAGTGAGGGTCGTGTTGGGGGAGGAGGGAATGGGCTGGGGAAGGGGACCTGAGGAGCATTGGAGCTTGCGCCCGTTAACTTCTTGTGTCCACAGGCCTGTGGGACACTATGAAGAGGTGGAGCTGACTGAGAGCAGTGTGAACCCGGGCCCTGAGCGCATCGGGCCCCACTGCTTCGAGCTGCTGCGCGTGCTGGGCAAGGGGAACTATGGCAAGGTGCCGGCCCCCCTCCTTCCTCGCTGGCCTCACAGGCTTAGTCTTGCTGCACCGAAGAGTCTCAAAACAGATTAGACTTACAGAGACTTCTGTGGCGGTCCAGTGCTTCCAGCGCAGGGGGCGGGGATTCGATCCCTGGTCGGGGAACTAAGATCGCACATGCCCCGCAGCCAAAAAGTTAAAAGAAAAAAAAGTTCGATTTGTAAATCCTCTTAGAATCGGACTTGAAATCTTTACCGCCCCATTCCTGGGTGGACCTCTTGGTCCCAGTACCAGAGCTTCAGGGTAGGGCTTTTTGAAGATGGGATATGGAGAGGGAGGTTGATCCTGTCTCCCCTGCCCTGCAGGTGTTCCAGGTGCGAAAGGTGCAGGGCACCAATGTGGGCAGAATATATGCCATGAAAGTCCTGAGGAAGGTGAGTCATTCGTTCAGCCGACATTCGTTCAGCCGACAGGTCCTCACCCAGTGGCTGCCATTCCCAATGTACTACACCGGCCTTTGGGAGACAGCAGTGAACATAGTGGAGTGGAGGAGATGGTCACTGTCTTGAGCGCTTGCTTGTTTATTGTCAGTAGCAATTATATTGTTCTGCGGTATATTCTCAACCATGGGCAGTATTGCCTCCCAGGCAACGTCTGGCAATGTTGGCAATGTCGGTGTGCATTTCTGAGTCACGACTAGAGAGGGGCTGCCACAGGCATCCAGTGGGTTGAGCCCAGGGATTCTGCTAAAGGTCTTACAACGCAAAAGACAGCCCCCACAGCAAAGAATTATCTGCCCCAAATGTCATGAGTGCGGAAGTTGAGAAACATGGTGCTACTAGGATAAACCAGTCCCTGGAAAGGATGGTTGCTGATAGCTGCAGAATTATGGAGAAATACAATGGGGTGATAGAGAATGGCTGAAGAGTAATGGCTGGAGGGACCGAGGGAGTCCTGGGGGCCCACCTTCTAACTGATCCCTGCCTCTGCAGGCCAAAATTGTGCGCAACGCCAAGGACACGGCACACACGCGGGCTGAGCGGAACATTCTAGAGTCGGTGAAGCACCCCTTCATTGTGGAACTGGCCTATGCCTTCCAGACTGGTGGCAAACTCTACCTCATCCTGGAGTGCCTCAGTGGTATGAGTGCGGGCCCATCTGGGGTGTGGGCAAGGCCAGGGAACCAGCACAGGGAGCTCTGGGGGGAGCTGGGAGAGACGCGGTATGTAGAATGGCCAGGGGGGCCCCACCTCATCCATCCCTCTGTCCGTTCATTCATTCATTCATTCATTCATTCAGCAAACGTCTGTCCAGTGCCTCTTGTATCCCTCAGCGGTGTTGGGGGTGGATGGGAACGGTGGGAGTCTGTATAGATGTCCAGAGAGTTGTTTTGTCCATTTCCAGTAGCCCTTCATGTGCTGGTCCTCCCTCCTTTGTGCCCTGCATCCAGTCAGATCCCAATCCAGATGGTTCATTCTCTGCAGTGTCCTCTATCCTCTCTACTCTCTTGGGCGGAGGGGAGGCGTCACAGTTGTTTCTTAACTGGCCTCAAAGCCTCCAGCTCACCCTCTTCCTAGTGTCTCCTCCACCAACTTCCAGGGTCATCGTCTGAGAGCATGGGATTGCCCCCAACACTCCTACTCAGAATTCCATGGCTCCCTGCAACTGCCCGGATCAAGCCTGGCCTCCTTGGCCTGGTGTCCCCTGCTCGCCATGAAGCGATCCGGGCCTGCTTTTCCTACTGACCCCATCTGTCCCAATGAGCCCTGGGAGCTTCATTTCCTGCGCTCCATCTCTGCATCCCCTTTAAGTCTCACCGCTGCCAGGGACTTTCTCTGTCAACCTCACGCTGGGGTTAACTGTGTCCTCCTGTCTCCTCTGTGAAGGTTTTGGTAGGCTCTCAGGGCCGTTGCCTCAGTCTGGCACATTGGAGCAGCTGTGTGCGTGTCTGTCTCCCCAGTAGACTGAGCGTCCTGCGGGCAGTGGCTGGGGCTCTTCATCTCTGTCCCCAGCTTCACCCAGCACAGGGCCAGGCACCGAGTAGGCGTCGGTAGACGTTTGCTGAATTGAATTGAGTCCCCACGGCAGCTCTGGGAGGCAGGTAGGGCGGGAATTACGAGCCCCACTCTCCCTGAGAAGAAACCAAGGCTCGGCGAGCAGAGGAGCTTGGTCCCAGCACACAGCTGCTGACATGTTTGTGTCGCAGGCGGCGAGCTCTTCACACATCTGGAGCGCGAGGGCATCTTCCTGGAAGACACTGCCTGGTGGGTGTTACCTCCAGCCTCTCTCCTGAGGGGGTCCAGGGACCCCTCCACGTCAGGGCCTGGCTCCACCCCCACCCCCACCCCCCCTTGCCTTCACCCTGTCCTGTCTCTGCAGTTTCTACCTGTCAGAGATCACACTGGCCCTGGGCCATCTCCACTCCCAAGGCATCATCTACCGGGATCTCAAACCTGAGAACATCATGCTCAACAGCCAGGGTGCGCATGTGTGGGGAGGGCTGAGCCCCGCGGGGTGGCCTGGGGTCCTGACCGACCCACCCTAACATTCTTCCTCAGGTCACATCAAACTGACGGACTTCGGCCTCTGCAAGGAGTCGATTCACGAGGGTGCCGTCACCCACACCTTCTGCGGCACCATCGAGTACATGTAAGCGGCAGCCGGCTGGGCCCAGGGGTCAGGAGGACAGCCAGGCAGGGCTTGGCCTGACTGATGGTTCCACCTGGCCCCCAGGGCCCCTGAGATTCTGGTGCGCAGTGGCCACAACCGGGCGGTGGACTGGTGGAGCTTGGGGGCCCTGATGTACGACATGCTCACTGGATCGGCAAGTCCAGCCTCCTCGGGAGGGTGGGCGTGGGGGCGGGAGGAGGGCCCCCTCCCGGGGCAGGGGCGGGCCCGGTGGGAGGCCCGCAAGGCTCCTCTCACCCTCTGCCTTCTCCAGCCACCCTTCACTGCAGAGAACCGGAAGAAAACCATGGACAGGATCATCAGAGGGAAGCTGGAGCTGCCCGCCTACCTCACCCCAGATGCCCGGGACCTCGTCAAAAAGGTGGGCTCCCTCCTGCCCTTGGTCCGGCCCCCGTCTCTTCTCCCAGGCCCTGCATGGGCTCCTGAGTCTCCCTGGGCCAGGGTTGCTGGAGCTCCCCACTCCCCTTCCCCCACCCGTACGATGTGCCTTTGGGACGAGGAGCATTGGCTGCGAGGTGTGAGACGTCAGCTCTGGCACAGACCGGCTGCGGACCTTGGCCAGGTCCCTAGTCTGAGTCCCAACCAGCGAGGCCTGCACCACGCACTAGCCGCTCTCCTCAAAAAGTCGGTCACTGGGGATCAAAGTGGGAGGCTAGGCACCCCATCCAGATTGTGAGTTGGATCCCCACGAATGTGCCCTGGGGTGATGCCAGCAAAGGCTTTGTGGAGAAGGGGCCATGGGATCAAACCTTGGAAATTCTGAGGGTGTCAGTAGGTGGACACCACACTCCAGGGCCCCCACCGCAAGCCACGACCCCTTTCTCACCTTTCCCCACCCCCTGGGGCCACTCGGAAACAATCGGTACCTCCGCCCGAGACCCTCACCCCCTGCCCTTGTCCTGCAGTTTCTGAAGCGGAATCCCAGCCAACGTATCGGGGGTGGCCCTGGGGACGCCGCTGATGTGCAGGTGGGTCTGGGACCGTTACGAGGGGGCAGGGCTGAGCCCCCAAGGGTGTCTGGGTGCAGGAGACAGGGCCCTAGAGCAGGGGGGGTTTCTGAGGGAGCCACGGAGGGTGAAATGTTGGCACGTTTGGGGGCACTCTGCCCACAGAGGCACCCCTTCTTCCGGCACGTTAATTGGGATGACCTCCTGGCCCGCCGCGTGGACCCCCCTTTCCGGCCCTCCCTGGTGAGTGGGGCCCCACTGGCCTGGGGGCGGGGGCCCCTGTCCCGGACACCCCTGACTCCTCCCGGGGCGCCCACAGCAGTCGGAGGAGGACGTGAGCCAGTTTGACTCCCACTTCACGAGGCAGACGCCGGTGGACAGTCCAGATGACACGGCCCTGAGTGAGAGCGCCAACCAGGCCTTCCTGGTGAGGTCTGGGGGCCTGAGGGTTACAGGGACACGGGCCGGGGTGTGGCCAAGGAGCGGTGGACCCTGAGCTGCGCCTGGCCCCGCCTCTGCCCCCTAGGGCTTCACGTATGTGGCGCCCTCTGTCCTGGACAGCATCAAGGAGGGCTTCTCCTTCCAGCCCAAGCTGCGCTCCCCCAGGCGCCTCAACGGCAGCCCCTGGACCCCCATCAGGTACCGCGGGGCGGGGGCCGTTCTAGCTTTGGCTCTGCCGTCAACCCCAGGGCTGCCTTGGCCGTCTCTGAACCAGCCTCAGCCTCTGTTTCTCCGTCTACCATGGGGACTTGTGTGGCAGGGGCCGCCTGGGTGGGCACTTGACTGCATCCTGGCCCCATGCCAGTAAATGCTGACTCTGCCTCGGTTTCCCCTGCAGCCCCCTGAAGTTCTCGCCCTTTGAGGGATTCCGGCCCAGCCCCGGCCCACTGGAGCCCCTGGAGCCCCCTCTACCCCCTCTCTTGCTGCCGCCGCCGCCACCACCGCCGCCCTCGAGCACTGCCCCCCTCCCCATCCGACCCCCCTCGGGGACCAAGAAGTCCAAGAAAGGCCGTGGGCGCCCCGGGCGCTAAGAGGGTGGGTGGAGATGAGGGCAGTGGGACCCCGGGCCAGTTCCAGAGACCTGGGGCTGTGCCTAGGGGTACAGGAGCGAGTGTGCGTGAGTGTGTCTCTGCTGGGGGTGGCCGTGCCCCTGAATCATGAACATGAAGGACTGCAGACCATGGCTGCCAGTCGAGGGGGGCTGCCCCCCTGGCCTCCCGCAGTTGAGCTGTGCCCCTGGATTATTAAAGTATTCAATCATGGCACTGACCTGGTTTCTCCTTTGGACTTCTGGGGCAGGGGCGGGTGGGGTCGTGCTGGGAGGAGTCCCTGCTAAGGGATGGGAGGGGCCGTGACAGGACCACAGAACAGCGGCGGACTGGAGGGGTTTTATTTCAGATGGCTGCCCAGTGCCCCCTGGGGACGGATGGCCTTCCTGGAGGGCTAGGGATACACAGACTTGGGGACTAGAACTCGTGGCGGGGAGTGACTGTCTGAGGCTCTCCAAGCGGGGGTGTGGGTGACATGAGCCCAGGGCAGGCTGTGTCCAGCCATGGCAGCTCGGGAAGCAGAGGCACAGTGACCAGGATGTGGCACCAGGGCTGGCTCCTACAGTGCGGTGACATGGAGGCCCTGGCTCCCAGCTGCCCTAGTGCTGTCGTCCCAGGCTGCGCTGCCAGCAAAGGCGTGCAGGTCACTCAGCAGGGCTTCGGCACTGCCCCTGGAGCCCACCGGCCCCTGGGAGCCGAGGCCCAGGCCCCCTTCAGTGTCATCGTCATAGGCTTCCTCGGCCGGCTCCGGGGCCTGCTGTGGGCTGGGCCTCTCTCCACGCTGCCCCTCTTCCTGGGATTCACGCTCCTCTTGGCCACCACCCAGGTCGCAGTCATCTTCCACGTCCCGCTCGTCCTCCTGCCGCTCCGGGTCCTCTTCTGGTGACCCCAGCTCAGCCCGGAGCCAGCGGCCTGGCGGGCTGGCCCAGAGCAGGCGGCGAGTGCGGCCCCACAGTGCGGCGCCCAGGCGGGCCGGGTGGTAGTAGCCCCCCGAGTCCCGGCTCAGGCGGCGCCAGGCCAGCGCCAGGCCAGTGGCCAGCAGCAGAAGCAGCAGCAACAGCAGGACCACAGTGACCGAGGAGCTGGAGCCCGGGCTGTCCTCGGCGCCGCGGCCCGAGCCCAGGGCCCCTGGCAGGGCCAGCAGCGTCCAGAGCCCTAGGACACAGCACAGGTCCTGGGGGGAGACAGGAAGGGGCTCATTGCCTGTGGTTGGTGGCCTCTTGGGTAAGATGGGGGCAGTCAAGCAGAAAAGTCCTTGTCAGTAAGGCCTCTCCTGGCTCTGTGATGTTCGCCAGCGATGCGTCCTCCTGCCTCTCGCCTTCCTCTCTCCCACTGCACCACGTAAGCCGGCTCCTGCCTGGGGCCTGTGCACCGGCTGTCCCCTCTGTCTGGAATGCTCCATCCCCCCGGAGAGCCACATGGCTCCCTGCTCACCCTGGCTCAAGGCACCTCAGTGCAGCCCAAGCTGGCCTGGATTAGTACCCTGACATTCATCCCCGCAGCCCAGCCCTGCTTTACCCTCCTACCCACTCCCCGACACAGGAGATAACTCTGCCCGTTTAGTATGCTTATTCTTTTCTCTTCCCCCCAGGAAGACGGGGGGGGGGGTCTCTTTGGCTTAAGCACCTAAACAATTCCTAGCGCAGAGTAGGCGCTCAAGAAATAACTGTAGGGGCTTCCCTGGTGGCGCAGTGGTTAAGAATCCGCCTGCCAATGCAGGGGACACGGGTTTGAGCCCTGGTTCGGGAAGATCCCACGTGCCACGGAGCAACTAAGCCCGTGCACCACAACTGCTGAGCCTGCGTGCCACAACTACTGAAGCCCACGCGCCTAGAGCCCATGCTCTGCAACAACAGAAGCCACTGCAATGAGAAGTCCGCGCACCGCAACGAAGAGTAGCAGCCAAAAATAAATAAATAAATTAATTAATTAAAAAAAAAAAATCTGTAAAGACTCTGCCCCCAGGAGGAGGGGACGGAAGGGAAGGAAGGCACCTGCAAGGCTGGTGTTGGAGCTGGCTCTTCCTGAGGCCCAGGATGGGGGGACCGAGCCCAAGGCAACTGTGTAGCCTCCATTTGGCCAGGTCCCAGGATGGGGGTCACTGAGACCCTTCTTCCTCCCTCCCAGCCACGGGGACTGCCCTAGCTGTAGCATTTCCGTTCAACTCTCCGTCCCTGGGGCCTCGGGTCTCGCAGGGCCAGGGGCTGGGGCAGGCGGGTGCAGCTGCCAGAGGAAGCCTGCGGTCAGAACAAGGCAGGTGGGGGGGTGCGTGGGGGGAGGGGTGCCGAGATGCGAGCAAGCCTTCTCCCACCCCACACTGTCTGCCCAGGCTCCAGGGATGCGAGTAGAGGCCGTGCTGAGTCCCAGCTCCCGAGCAGAGCAGGTGAGAGTCCACCTGGGGGTCTTGAAGGGGGGTCGGGCATGGAGTGGGGCACTGGGAGGCCACCCCCTGAATCTGAGGGAGGCCCAGGTCTGATGTGAGGTGAGAGGAAGGCCCAGCTTCTGCCCTGGGCTCATCCCGGGTATCTCGCCTCTGCCCCCTGCCTGGCTGCTCCTGCCCGCGGGCCCGCGGGGGGGTCCTTCCTTAGCTCCTGGGGCCTAGACATTCCAGCCCTGACCTCCTGTGGCCCCCACCCCAAGGACCCAGCAGGCTCCACGCTCACCATCAGTCTGCTGGCCTTTCAGCGCCGGGCGCCCACCTCCAGCCCTAGCCGTGTGGAGCGAGAAATGAGCTTGCGCTCTCGACGCATCTGGGGTAAACTCGGCGCTTCCGCTTCCTGCCCACAACATCCCGCTCAGCCCTCCCTGCAACAGGACCCTCATCGCCGCCCCCCGACCCCGGGGCCTCTCAGAACCACCCTGATCCACATCAGATCCTCACCGGCCTCTCCCTGGGCCAGGCTGGGGCTATGGGGGGCAGGGCGGGGGATGTTCACGGTCCCCCAGACCTTTCTCACATATATGATCCATGGGGGCGGCCCTATGTCCCCCCCCCCCAGGGGTCCAGACTTCCTTTCCCAGTCCCACCCTTGTAGCAGAAGGGCAAACCTGGCTTTTAGAAAGAGAATTTTATTTGGAATGAAAATATAGAACCCATCCCTCCTGCTTCCTCAGGGGAGGGAGCAGGGTGGCTGGGTGGCGGTGGGGGAGACGGTGCCTCAGAGTAGAAGCTCTCCTGGGTACAAAACCCCTCCCCAGTAACAACGCCCAAAGCCGGCTGGTGGCTCCAGCCTAGGCCCACAGGATGGCTCAGGGTGTGGACTGGTCCCTGAACCTGCCCCAGAAACCCTCAGCAGGGGCAGGGGCAGCCAACCGGAGTCAGTGTGACCCGCCAGCAGAGGCTGAGTGAGAAAGAGGTGGGCGGAGGAGGTGAATGGGGAGTGGCATCCACTGGGCCCAGGTCTAGGCGTCTCCATTTTCCACGCGGCCAAGCTGCTCCTCCAGACGGCAGATGCGATCCCCCTGCTCCTTGACCAGCGCTCTCAGTGCTCGCAGCTCCTGCATCACCTCCTCCAGCTTCCCAGCCTCCTGCTGGGACATGAGCGGGGACAGGGGTTTCGGAGCTGCAGCCCTCCCCAAATCTACTATCAGGCAGAGGGGCCTGAGGCCCAGAGAGGGGCAGTGAGTGGTTCAGGCAGGCACAGCAGACCTGGGCAACACCCGGGCTTCCCAACACCACCCTGAGCTGAGGGGCACCTACCCCGGCTCCGGCAAGGCTGCTGCCAGGGGCGGCAATACTGGTGAAGGCAGCAGGCGTGGAGGCCCCCGGGCGGGGGGAGCCAGGGGCCGCGGCGGGCCGGCTGTCTGATAACACGTTGCGCCGGTTGACCTTCAGGTCCCGCTGTTTGCTGGGCACATAGGCTTCCCGCAGGGAGATGAGGATGGGGTTGGCATCCCGCCCGCTCACCCACTCCTCTGCCTCCAGGGCCGCCTCAGGCCCAGCTGTGTCGGGGTACAGATCATCCTGGAAGAGGTCCGACTGGGCGGGGGGGAGGTCTGGGTCAGCTGGGGCCCACCTGCAGGGTCCTCTCGTCTGGACCCTGAGTGGCCACCTCCTCAACACTCTCCTGGCCTCCAGGCTTGCACCCTGTCAACCCATCTTCCCATGGCCTGACCCCTAGTGACATTTCTAAAGCTCAAATCTGTTCTTTCACTTCCCTCTGGACACCACCGACAGCTCCCTCTGAAGATTCCCCCCACCTTCCCAAGCAGGGGCCAGCTACGTGGCTCTGTGGGACTCCGGGGGCCACGTCTGTGCCCTGTGGACAGTGAGCTCCTGGGGCTGGCCCCGTCGAACTCGCCCTCAGCTCTGCTCCCTGGACGTGCCTGGCACGCTACCCTGTGCCCTCAGTAAACGCTGGCTGGAGAGAAATGAAGCACCTTCAAGGCTCTCAGCTGGGGCTCTGAGGCCGAGCCACATGTGGCCGAATCCCCACCTCACAGGAGCCTCCACTGCAGCCAGACTCCCCACTCCTCTTTCCATTCCCACCTCTGTGCTTTCGCCTGGCTTACTACACACCCCTCATTGGAGGCCCTGCCCCAGCCACGCTGTTGGTCCTGCCTTGCCTCCTACAGGGAGACCTCCAAGGCTGCCCAGTATCTGTCTCCTGTGGCTCATGCAGAGCGAGGCCTCGGTTCACCCCGTGTCTCATCCCTGCCTGGCCCTCGCTGGGCACGCTGGCATCTATCCAGCCCGCTGACTACACGCACACTCGACCATGTCCCATTCACAAGCCTCACCTTGATCACCCCTGTGTGGTCTGTCTGCTAGAAAGGGAGTGGGTGGGCAGGGAACCAGGTGACCTCACCTTTCGTGGCACAGTCATGACAATGGGCTCACACTTGCGCTCATGCAGTTTGTAGAACCTGGGAAAGGGCGGGGAGGGAGGACCCATGGGTGGAACCTGCCCCCTACCAGCTCTCCCAGCTCCCTCTGCCCTCCCCTTCCAGTCCTTACCCTGGCCCCTCCTACGGGCTGACCCCTGACCCCGGGGCCCCTCTGGGTCGGTTCCTGCTCCCGAGCAGCCCCCTACATCCACCTTCTTACCGGGCAATCTCGCACTTGCTGACCTCCAAGCCCCTCTTGGGCATGCTGCCCATGCCCCTCTGGGGCTCTTTGCTGGTGAACGTGTTCAGGAAGTGGATGTAGGGGGGCTCGTCTGTGATCTCAAAGTACCGGATGCTGGAGTCACCCTGCAGGGCGGGAGGGGGCAGGGGTCAGCACCTGGGCCTGCCTATCTCTTCCCTGTCCCCAGCAGCCCTGCTCAGCTCTACCTTGCCGCAGACGTAGACCATGCTGGTGTCAGGGTCGTAGAAGGGCAACAGAGCCCCATTGCTAGAGTCCAACTCCTGCAGGGCCATGGGCTCCCCGAAGTTTTCCTGGCACGTGGGTTGAGGGGCAGTCAGGCCAGGCCAGAACCTGCCCTCTCCCCTCACTGTCCTAACCCCTCACTGGGACTGGCCCCAGCTAGCCTCACAAGCTGGCTGGCACTGCCCCTACCACTGCCACCCTTTGCCCACACGGTGTAGCCCCGCCAGGCCCTCCTGGCTCCCCTCCCTCCACTCCCACGGTCCCATTTTCCCTGCCTACTCCAGGCCTTCAGACTACCCCCAGGCCACCAAGCAAGTACTGAGAAAGCCCCCACCACGCAGGAGCCAGGGGTGCCCGGCAGCGCTAGCTGCTGTCTCAGAGGGGCCCCCGGAGGTTGCCAGACAGAAGGTTAAGGCTGTGGGACACAGCACGTCACAGGAAAGGCTAGAAGCCTTCCTGGAGAAGGGGACCTCTGCACTGGGCCTCGAAGGACAGCCGAGTGTTAACAGACAAGCAAAGGAGAGAAGGGCCTTTCAGGGGGCAAGAACACTGTGGGCAGACACGGAGGCAGGTGGAGGCGGTGGGGGAGGCCAGAGAGCAGGGGGCAGGGAGAGGAGAGGCTGGCAGGGCTCCAGGGCCTGGGTGCCTCAGGTGCCAGGCTGAGAACCTGGGAACGACAGGCCTCTCCAGGTGATTCCCGCCCTCCTCGCCCAGGGTGGAGCCCGTCTTGAGGCCACCCGCTTGGGCCGGCCAGGCCACTCACTGGGTCCCAGAGCGCCAGCTGCCGCTCGCTCATGCGGCTGAAGCCCGTGGTGAACACCTTGCCGTCTGCCAGGAAGATGGCCCGCATGGGCCGGGCCCCCTCGTGAGCCTTCTCCCGCTCCTGCCGGGGAGATGGAGCGGTCAGTGTGGAGCCCCAAGAGAGCCCCTCGGCCAGTCTGCGGCCATCCTCACCCTCCAGGGCCACGTACCGCCACCAGAGCCCCCCGGCGGGGGTCAATGATGCGCACACTCTTGTCTTTGCACGCGCTGCAGAAGAGACTGCCGTTGCGGTTCCAGCTGACGTTGTAGATGAGGTCGGGGTGCAGGCTGTCCAGGCGGTACAGCTCCTCCGCCGTGCCCACGTTCCAGATGAGCACCACGTTGTCGCAGCCTGCCGAGCGGGGGGCCATCAGCTCTGACCACCCTCCTGGGACCCGACCCGGCACTCGACCTCTGTGGGCCTCAACCTTCCTGGGTGTCAGACGGGCCTGGGAGAGGGTGTGGGATGCTGCGGAGCTGTGCGCATCGAGGGGCGGGGCAGGGCAGGGGCAGCGGTGCAGACCTGCGCTAAGCAGCACGTTGCGGGCCGTGGGGTGCCAGGTGATGATGCCCACTCGCTTGGTGTGCCCCTCTAGCACCACCACCGGCTCTGTCAGAGGGGAGACCAGCCCATTCTCCGGGATCTGCCACACCTGGGGAGGGGTGGGGAGGGCAGATGAGGCCCCTGCTTGGCCCCGCTGCCAGGAGCCTTGAGCCACATCTGCGACCCCCGCCCCATCACAGCCCCATGCCTCACCATGACCGTGCAGTCCTCCGAGCCGCTGGCGATGACTTCGTCATTGTGGGGACACCAGTCAATGTCCAGGACAGGTCCTGTGTGTCCGCACACTGTCGGGTAGGCCTTGTCAATGCGGCCGGTCTGCAGGCATGAGGGGGGCAGTCAAGGGGGACCCAAGATGCCCAGGCTCCATCCCTCCCAGAACTTCAGCCCTCCCCTCTGTGGACAGGGAATGATGCGGTTGGCCTGGCCCACAGGTGGCCCAGATGTGACTCTCACCCTGCCTCCTCCTGACCCACCTCTTCCTCACAGGTGTCACCAGGTGAGCAGGATATGTTTGTTGCCTCTGACCCTGACTCTGTGGCTAATAAAAAACAGGCTTTCCCTATCTGTGCTAACACCTCCCAGGCAGTAAATGTGGATTACGACACCTGCCGGGCAGTGTGGGGATGGGCAAATTATGGGTTGTGAAGGGAGCAGAGAGACCTGGCAGATGCGACCAAGCTGGCTCCAGTCTCCTCCCAGCCCCAATGAGGCCCACCTTGCTTAGGGGAAGCACCAGGAAGGCGCCTCCACCGCTGGCCTCCACAATCACTGCCAGGAACTTGGGGTTGACGGCGCAGAAGGTGCTGTCCCAGGTGACACGGGACACTCGAATGTCCTCATAGCACTGGTCATTCTTGACAGGCTGCCCGAACACATGTCGGAATTTGCTCTGCCGAACCACTTTGCGGAACATGACTGCAGGGTGGAGAAGCATAGGTCAGCCTCTGCCCATCCCAACAACCTCCAAGCCTCCCAGGGCTGCACGAAGGCAGTAGGGAGGATGCAACAGGGCGCCTGGGCCTGATAACCTGCCTGGCTCTCCGTTTCCTAAGATACAGGATAGGGTCACAGGG